GACAGAGAGAGACAGAGCATGAACGGGGGAGGGGCAGAGAGAGAGAGAGACACAGAATCGGAAACAGGCTCCAGGCTCTGAGCCATCAGCCCAGAGCCTGACGCGGGGCTCGAACTCACAGACCGCGAGATCGTGACCTGGCTGAAGTCGGACGCTTAACCGACTGCGCCACCCAGGCGCCCCTCTAACTGCGTTCTTAGGGTAGCTTCCAGTCTAGTTGCAGTGGCACCAAATGTGACCCCATGATGTGGATATGCTTGTCTGGACAGCAAATCTTCCTTCCTCCCACTTGCCATGTAACCGGCTTAGCTCTTGTGGTTTCATGGCACTGTCCCTTTTCCAGGGGTACAGAGCTACCCAGGCCTGATCAGTCAGAGTACCCCATCCCTGCCAAATACACAGAATGGTTCAGGGATTCTCACATGACCCAGCCGATCAGAGAGAGTCTTTCCAGGGACATTTATTTGGAGTCATGAGGAAACAGACTCACTGTTCATCTGTGATTATGAGCCATGGAAGCAATCAATGATAAAACCCAAATGAGCAGCAGAATTGAGAGGTGGAAAACACCAGTGTCCTGATGATGTTGTTTGAACCTCCACATACCCCGGAAGTAGTTTGCCCCCCCCCCCCTTAGAATTTCCAGTTTCAAAATCCAATACACTCTCCATTTTTGCTGGAGCAGGTTTGAGTTGGGTCTCTGTCACTCGCCAGCATAAAATGAAAATATCCCCCACGACCTCCTCAACCACTTAGGCACTTGATCTCCAAACAGAAGAACTTCTCAAGATTTAGTCTCTAAGACTGTAACATAAAGCTGGGAAGGCCCAGGATGCTCAACTAGAACACGAAGCCTCAGGTTAAGTTCTGCATTTGAAGATGCTGCCTGAGTATCCTTGTCATTGAGCCACATGCTTACTCCCTCTTATTTCAGTTCTCCCAGATTTTGTTTAAAAAATGTTTTAATGTTTATTTATTTTTGAGAGAGAGAGAGAGACAGAGAGACAGAGCGTGAGCAGGGGAGGGGCAGAGAGAGAGGGAGACACAGAATCCGAAGCAGACTCCAGGCTTCTGAGCTATCAGCACAGAGCCCCATGCAGGGTTGGAACCCACGAACTGGGAGATCATGACCTGAGCTGAAGTCAAGCGCTTAATGGACTGAGCCACCCAGGCAGCCCTAGAGTTAGTCTTAATAATCTTTACTGCTCTTGTTAGGACTATTGCCAGATACTTTATTTTCTGTCACTGTTGTAAAGGAGACCTTTTTCCATAATGATACCCAATCGCTTATCATTGAATCAAAAGGAAGCTTTTTTTTTTTCTTTTGAAGATTACCCTGAATACTGCCACTTTGTTGAATTTTCTTACCAAACCAAACAGGTTTTCCACTGAATCTTGTTAGGGCTCTAGTTCGATTATCATCATTCGCAGCCAATACGATTATCTAGAATCTTCTTTCTCATTAGTAATGCTTCTTATTTCTCCTGCATGCTCAGTATTAGAGGTTATAACAATTGCTTGGCTCATTTTTTTAAAGCGCATGACTCTTAATTAGCAAAACAGAATGTCCATACTCAAGCTTTGTGCCAGAGAACATGACTTTGACCAGGTTACTGTTTAACTCTTATCCAAACAATCCAGAGAAATGGTGCTTAGGGTGGGTAGTTTGAAGGATGTGAATCGATTCTCTGGTAGTTTAGATTTTGTTCCTGGATCAAATTAGATTGTCCGAGAGCCTCACATTTGCTCCGCATTGTGTTGGCCCCTCAGAGTTGTGCTTTGTCTTCCTCCCTTGATTTATATCAGGAATAGTATAAAACCACCTGAAAAATCTACCACGATTATTTTCAAGGGTTTTCTTTAGGTCATTGTCCATGCCATCACGTAGTAACCTAAATATATAGAAAGTTTCGACACAGGATAGGGGCGCCTGGCTGGCTCAGTCGGTAGAGTATGCGACTCTTGACCTTGGGGTCGTGACCTTGGGCCCCATGTTGGGTGTACAGACTACTTAAATAAAGAAAAATTTAAAAAAAGATTTTTTTTTAAAGAGAGACCTATGATTTAAAAAAAAAAAAAATTCAATACTACAGTCCCAGAAATGGCTGTTGGCGTAACTCACTAATGTTAGATTTGGGAGTCCTTGGTCCTCCAAACTACACGGTCTAAAGTGCTGTGGGGCTAAGTTGTACAAATGGGGCTCTGGTAGCAGAGGGATTGGATTAATTCACAAATGTCTTAGCAGATAAAGTTATATATGGAAAATAGGAACACATCTGAGAGAAATAAGTCAGAGGAAGGTCTCTCTACCAGAGGAAAAGAACAGATACGTGGATCATTAGCAAAAGTCCATTTATATGAAAATCAAAAGCTGCATACTTCTACACCCTGAATCCCAAATCCTCTCATTGGAAAGTGGTTTATGATCGTAGCTTTGGCTTTTAGGAGAGATTAGTACCAGAAATAACTATATGAGAATTGTTTCCGAATTTATGATACAAAATGTTGTCGAGAACCTCATCCGGAGGTTCCCAGATGAAAGTGTTCATGCAAGAATTTCATTATGGGAAATCTTTGACTCCTTTTTCAAGTTCCAATGTTTTCTCCTTTGGGGCGCTGACATCTGGGTATCCCTGAGTTTCCCTTTCCTCACCCCTCCACGCGGCTAAGAAGCTCAGGACAAAATTTCCCACTCAAGCAGAACGAGCCTTCAGATGACATCTTACCCATCTTCCTGGTTTTAATTTCCTTACTAATTTGTTTGCTTTATCATTAAAGCTTTTTGTAGGTCATCCCAAATGTTTTTGGAAAAAAGGCCAGGTATGCGTGGCATTTTGTTTCTATTGTTAGGGGTTTGTTTTTCAGGGCTCAGAGGAGTCTACTAGGTTGAGATACTAAGGGGGAGTGACTGGGGCAGCCCCCTCCTACAGTCAACTTAAGATAGGGATTGCCACCACAACTTCGTAAAGGAAGCCACCCAGGTTCCTCGCCAGAGGACCGGAGAATGCATGCCCCACCTAGGGGAGGCAATGCCACTCAGCCTCTAAGAGGAGGTTGGTTTCTTGAGGTAAGGCAAACCCAGATTGCCAGGTTTTACAATTTTTCAGGAAAAGCTAGAATTCAAGATTTTAAAGGCAATTCTGGTTTTTGAAATGTTAACAACTAGTTCAAATTCTTTAAAACACTTTGGACCCGCAGAAGACAGGATAGGATGGTGGCCGATGAGGAATAAGGGGAAAAAAGAGGAGTTGTTCCTTGGTGGGTAGAAGTTTTGGTTATACAGGATGGATAAGTTCTAGAGATTTTCTGTACATCGTGCCTACAGTTAACAACACAGTATCGTGCATTTAAAAATCTGTTAAGAGGCTACTGGGGCGCCTTGGTGGCTCAGTCGGTTAAGCGTCAGACTTCAGCTCAGGTCATGATCTCACAGTTCGTGGGTTCGAGCCCCGCGTCTGGCTCTGTGCTGACAGCTCAGAGCCTGGAGCCTGCTTCGGATTCTGTGTCTCCCTCTCTCTCTGACCCTCCCCCGTTCATGCTCTGTCTCTCTCTGTCTCAAAAATAAATAAACGTTAAAAAAAATTTTTTTTTAATTTGTTAAGAGGTTAGACCTCATATTATGTGCTCTTACCATCACCACCACCACCACAACAAAAAAGACGACATACAAGGAAACCTCTGGAAGCGATGGGTATGTTTATTATCTTGATTGTGGTAATATCATAAGTCCGTGCATATGTCCAAACTCATCAAATCGTATACATTAAATATTTGCTAGTATAGGTGTACGTATCCCATACACATTTTTCTTTTGTAAACACAAAACTCTGGACCAAGCCACCATCTGTGACCCAGACCTGGGCCTTTGGGCTCTGAGACATCTGGGAGCAGGTTTTAGAAACCCAGTTACCAGGAGACAAAGTAAGAAATCTGCCACCGGGGAGCTGATGTCATAATGGCACTGAGGATCACCCTGACTTTGACCTGAGTAATAAAGTGCTCGGTCTGAGAAACCAGAAGCTTTGGGCTCTGTCGAGGTTTTTGTGGGCGTGATTAGTAGAAAAAGGCCTGCACTTGAGATCTGGGAAGCTAGCTTTGAGCTTGGCTGTGCCAGCCACGAATCCCACGCGGGCTGGGTGAAGCCATGGGATTTCCAGAGTCCTCCAGAGCACTCCCTGCACCCAGAGGAGGTTAGGTATGATCTGTGGATCTTTCAAATTCTGTATTTCCCAAAGTATCCTATCAGAAACCCCAAAAGATATGTGAGCATGAGAAAAGAAGTCTCCACTCATCTTTCAATCATGTACTTGTCCGGAAGAACTGTCTAAATTTCCACTGTTGCCACAAACACCAAATGAGCTGGATTTCCAAGGGTGAGTTCCCAAACAAATCACAATACAAAAATACGAGAGAGGTGGACTCCCAATCTCCACCAAAGGAAACTTTACTATCACCCTTTCCTACCAATGAAAACATGGTCACAGTAGGCTTCAGTGCTTTACCACTTTTCAAAAAGGTGGAGTTAATACTTAATAATTTATGAGCAGGGGGCCATTCAGACATACACTTTTGTTACACCTCACCTTTTTTGGTAAATAAAAAAGCAATCACAAACTATCACGAGCCGACTGTCTACAATGCTTTCAGAATCCACAATTACTTTAACTCTGCAATGATCGCTTCGAGTTTTTCTGTAACGGCGCCGCAAAATTCGCCCACCTTTTCTTCTTTCTTATAAAACTGAAAGGTTGGGATGCACATGATCTCAAGGTCCTTCACCAGCTCATCACACTCATCAGCATCCACTTCCAGGAACACCACGTCCTCGTACTTGACAGACAAGGAATGGAAAAGGGGCTTGATGGTCCTGCAGGGCCCACACCACGTGGCTGAGAAGTCCACGGCCACCAGCCTCTCCCCAGCCTCCTTGAGCGCCAACTCGAAGTCCTCCTTGCTTAGGATCATCTTCACCAAGTCCACTTCCAGAAGCTCCATTGACCCTGATGCCTTCAGGACGTCTCCTTCTATGGGCAGGATGGCTTCTTTTGAGGACTTGGGGATATCACCTTCCTTAGGCTGGATGCTGTCTTCTGAGCAATTGGTGTCACCCTCTCTGGGCTGGATGCTGTCTTCTGAGCACTTGGTGTCACCCTCTCTGGGCAGGATGTTTTCTTCTGAGGACTTGGGGATGGGGATGTGTTTGGACAGGGTAGATTTCACTAATAGCTTGGGGCTGTTGATCTGTTTAGACAGGAAAGGTTTTGCTGAGAACTTAGGGGTGTTGGCCTCTTTGGGCAGAATGGATTTTGCTAAGAACTTGGGACTCTTGCCCTTCTTAGACAGGATGGTTTTGGCTGGGGACATGGGGATGTTATCCTGCTTGGGTGGGATGTTTTTTTCTAAGGAAGTAGACATTCCATCCTCCTGCAGCAGGGTGGTTTTTTCTGAGGAACTGGGGGTGTCACCGTGCTTGGGTGCAATAATTTTTTCTGAAGAATTGGAGCTATCAGCCTGCTTGGGTGGGATCCTTTCTTCTGAGGGATTGGGGGTATCACTCTCCTTGGGTAGAATGACTTTTCCTGAAAAATGTGGGGTGTCAGTCTGCTTGGGTGGGATGGTTTTTGCTGGGGAATTGGGGGTACAAGCCTGTTTGAGTGGGGTGGTTTTTGCTGGGGAATTGGGGATATCAGCCTGTTTGGGTGGGGTGATTTTGGTTGGGAAATTAAGGGCATTGCCATGCTGGGGCAGGATCATTTTTGCTGAAGAACTGGGGATACTGCCATGCTTGGGTTGGATGATTTTTGCTGAAAACCTGGGGGTGTCAACCTGCTTGGGTGAGATGGATTTTGCTGAGAAACTTGGGATGTTAGCCTGTTTGGGTGGAATGGGTTTTGCTAAGGGATTGGAGATGCCAGCTTGCTTGAGCGGGATCATTTTTTCTGGAGAATTGGGGGTATCAGCCTGCCTGGGCAGGATCATTTTTGCTAAAGAATTGGGGATACTGCCCTGCTCACGAGGGATGATTTTTGCTGAAAAACTGGGGGTGCCAGCCTGCTTGGGTTGCATGGTCATTGCTGAGAAATTGAAGATGTTACCGCCCTGTGCCGGTGGGAATATGACCTTGAGCTGTGGACCTTTGGATTGCTTTGCAGGCATGTGTTGTATGTTGTCGGCCTCCGAAGCCGAGGCCTTCTCCTGGATGTGTGCTGTGTCCAAGAATTCTGGGACCAGGGGAGTCACGTGGTTGGACAGGCCCTGTAATAATGGACTTTCTGAACAAAAAAGTAAATAAGTAAAAATGCAAGAGAAGAAACAACAACAAAAATTCTTATCACGTACTCCAGGGAAGACCAATGCCATGGTTAGAGCCCACAAATGTAGTTTTGTGAATGACGCATCACTGTGAAAAATCACATTCAACAGAAGGCCAAGCGGCATGTGATTACGCGTATCTTTTGGTAGAGTTGGTTTTTTTGTTTTTTTTTTTTTAATTTCTTTTTAATGTTTATTTATTTTTGACAGAGACAGACTGCGAGTGGTTTAGGGCAGAGAGAGAAGGAGACACAGAAGCAGAAGCAGGCTCCAGGCTCTGAGCTGTCAGCACAGAGCCCGACGTGGGGCTCGAACTCATGAGCTGTGAGATCATGACCTGAGCCGAAATCAGACGCTCAACCGACTGAGCCACCCAAGCGCCCCGAGTTGTTTTTTTTTAAACTACATCTTTTCTCTGCTTCAATACTGCTGTCTGCTCCTTGAGCACGTAGGTCCCTAAGGTGACCTCCCCCCCCCGCCCCCGCACCCCTACCCCCCCCTCCCGCCATCAGCATCACCTTGATCTGCTTCTTGTTTCTCTGGACTCATGTTCGGAACTTCCGGGGTTCCAGCTCTGTCACTTTCCACTTCCTGTTCCTTGTCCATATCCACTCAGACTTCACACGTGCCTCAGAGTGGAGACGAGGCTGTACCCTCCAACTTTCTCCAGCCTCTCCTGCCTGACATCATAATATGAGTAACGACTTGCATTCGGGTGGTACTCACGGCTGGCTTTCCCTCTTTGTACTCAGAGCAGTAGTATTCGAGAGTCTCGTGACAGCCTTGGTTATGGTGGCCGTGCCGTGTGTTAGGCTGTGCCCAGTGCCTGATGTGCATTCATAGGCATTATTTCCTATAACACAACAAACCACTGAGGTAAGTACCATTATGATCCCCGCCTTGCAAACAAGAATATTGAGCCCTGGAGAAGTTATGTAACTTGCTCAAGGTCACAAAGCCAGGAGATGGGCGGGTTCCAAGCCTGCTCCCTGAACACTACGCTGAACTGTGCCGTTTGCCAAATCCCTGCCCAGCATGGTAACTCGAAACCACCTTTCCTACAACCTTCCTCTAGGACTCTCCGGCTCCAGCTGTCCCTTTCTGACTCACCCGCCCTAACCATCTAAGTGTTTCCTCCTAATCACGTTACCCTCCTCTACAAAGTCCTGCCTGACCGTCAGGTGTTCGATTTGACTATTTGGAAGGGAGTAGATTATGACGCAGAGAAATTTCCTGAGAAGTGAAAACGTCACACCTTCCATCCCAATAGATGGGGAGCCAAGAGAACAGGTACATAGATGTGTTCAGAGGAAAGCTGACAGCAGAGGAGTATTTGCCTGGGCTCCATTGGGGAGGCCAGGAAACACCCACATTCACATGGACTCCTCATCGACATGGCAGCGTGGGTCACTGGCAGAGGGTGTGACTGGATTCTTGGGCCTGGCGCAGGCTCCTGGCCCCACAGCCTGCTGTACCCATGCCAGGGATCTGGAAATCCTGCACAGCCAGTGCTGGGGATGCGAGCGTCCCGCGAAGACCGGCAGACCTATAGGGGCCTCGAGGAAGAAGCGAGAAGCCACTATGAAGGGGGATTTGTGATGAGAGGGCAACGACTGGAGTGACAGGTTCAACCAGTGGGTGAGAGCACGGTGCCCCAACCCCTAGATGGGCCCGGTGGTCCTCAGCAGTCCTTAGCCGAGGCAGCAGGCCAGAGTAGCCACTTTACATGCAGAATCGGAGCCAGAGGGCCGGGCCACGACTGGGCTGCACAGCCCTGTGCACCCAGATATTGTGGAGAAAGGGGAGGAATTGGAAAGACTGAGCTGCTACCAGAATGAGAAAGCGTGCATCAGGCTGAAAGTCCGCAAGCAGGCAGATTGAATTCCTGCCCCTCACTCCTCGAATCCCCATCGAGACAAGGCTCGTGGAGGAAGGAGATCCACTGTAGGACAATTTTAAAGCCATAGTATATTTGCACTTCTTCATGAAAGTGAGGAGATCTGTGACCATGGTACATTTATACTTGGGGACCTGAGGACCTGAGCTGTGTTTTAGGTTTGGCAGAGTTGTTCGAATTATTTCTCCTCTTCAGTCTGAAATTCAGATGGATTCCAAGCAACCGGAAATATCAACGCCTCTGAATCATTTTCATCCAACTTGTCATAAAATGTATCTTTTTCCCTTAAAATGTATTTTCTCCTGGGGCGCCTGGGTGGCGCAGTCGGTTAAGCGTCCGACTTCAGCCAGGTCACGATCTTGCGGTCTGTGAGTTCGAGCCCCGCGTCGGGTTCTGGGCTGATGGCTCGGAGCCTGGAGCCTGTTTCCGATTCTGTGTCTCCCTCTCTCTCTGCCCCTCCCCCGTTCATGCTCTGTCTCTCTCTGTCCCAAAAATAAATTTTAAAAAAATAATAATAAAATTAAAAAAATAAATAAAATAAAATGTATTTTCTCCTTTAGCACAAGCTGGCCCCCAAATTGCTCCTGAACCCTTATGTCAGTTGTGGTTCTGTGAGGGAAACAATAAATCAGCTATTCTAGGCATAGAAAGATTTATTTAATTATAACATAGCTGGAAAGGCTGCCTTTGGGCTAGATATCCTGGAATAATTCCTAGAAAAATGAGCAGGGCTGCAGACCTGGCCTGCCAGGGGGTGCGACCTTCATGATATCAGGAAGGCAGGAATCGGAAAGTTGCCGCTAAAATGGTTGACTTCAAGAACTTTCTGTTCCAGCTGCCAACCAAGGGTGAGAGAGCCACCGCTCCAACTCCCTCTCAGCTTAAAACTAGGGCTGAACTAGAAAGCTAGGGCAGAGAGAGGACAAAGTTGCAAGATGATGGCTTCCTTCGCATGCAGGTCCATCTACTGGTGGAATCGGTTTTGTATCCAGAACCCTAGGGGAGGCCAAAAAATGTGGTCTTCAGATTTCCAGCCTCTGTAGTTCAGGGAGCCACACTAGAAGTTGGAATAAACACTGCATGGAAATTCATTTCTACCCCACGCTCGCAATGACGACACGACAGTCTAGTTTTTACACACTAGGCTGGCACAACTTTTTGGTTTTACAATTACAAAAATAATACATATTCATGATACAAACGTGAGGAAACACACGCATAAAAAAATAAGAATAAGATTGGCACTCAAAGTGCCAACCTTCAAGGATCACCGTTATCAATACGGTGATGTATATTCTTGTCTTTCTTGGATTTATACTACCGTAATCCTTTTCATGGAAGAATATATTTTGAATCCTCTCTTTTGGATTTTGAACCTCCAGAACAGTGAGACATACATTTCTGTTGTTTAAGCCACCCAGTCAGTGGTACAACAGCCCTAGCAAACTAATATGGCAGCCATAGACATGGGCATGGCTGTGTCATAATAAAACTTTATTTACAAAAACAGGCAGGTGGCCAAAGGACATAGTTGTCCAATCCCCGCCCTGTATAATCATTTTTAATGATTGACTAATGTTCTTTTTAAAGGATGAACTACAATTTACTTAAATCATTTCATATTGATGGATATAAAGGTTGTTTTTATTATTTGCCGGTGTAAGCAATATAACAATAAGGATTTATAGATAAATATGTTCACATATTCTTAATTATTTTCTAAGAATACAATTCTAGAGGGGCACCTGGGTGGCTCAGTCAGTTAAACGTCCGACTTCAGCTCAGGTCATGATCTCATCGTTCATGGGTTCGAGTCCCATACTTGGGGTGGGGATTATGCTCCATCTCCTTGAGGGAGGGGTATCTACATAATTTTATTTGGAATTTTTCTGTTTGGGAGGTTTGTCTCTCCCATCCTCCATTTATTTATTCCATTCATTTATTTACGTTAGTGTCGACTCATGGACATTTGTTTTATACCTTGGGTTATAATCCAGTACTGTGAACTTTATTTGTTGCTCACATCCTCCCAGCTTTGACCACTGAGAACTTTCAGTTGGCTCCCGTGTCCTTTTGATTTACACACACCTGTAGTTTTGTTTGTTGAGCATGTCCTTGCCTTCTGGAACTACAAGATGCTCCAGGCTCGTTCTATAGATTCACTGCCATATCCCTAGAATCGTCCATTTCTTTAATGAGCCCTGCTTCCTTTTATTGGAGAATGGTATTTAGAAAACAAAATCTGAGCTGGGTGTGCTTGTTGATACTGGGTGTCATTGCCTTTAGACTCAGTGAGCATAACTAGGAACTGGATATAGATGTAACTAACCTGTGCACACACACACACATTTATTGCTATTTCTATATCGGTATCTGTATTAAGCGAACTATGAGTTCATATTGATGTCCTTGACTTTAATTCAGTACCACATGGTTCATTGTAGCCTTTCCCCCAAGCTTGTCTGTAAACTTCTATTCCAAAAGTGACTTGGTCCCCACTGTCTGCCACTCATTTATTTATTTGTCCAATTCCAGTAGACACATATAATGGTTCCAGAATGGTTAACCTGTCCCTCCATGGTAAACAGCTTCATCACCTAGAACACAGCGCTTTTGTACGGTTCCTTTTGTCTTTATAGGCTTATCGTTTCTAGTCATTTCCAAAGTTACTTAGGTCGGCCTCTTCCCCCCCCCCCCCACCCCTTCAATGAAATTATGCCATACATTTGTAGTAGGTATTTTCTTTTGTCACATTCTGCATTTCTTTCTGGGATCCCCTACCCTCTGGACTGAATTTTTTTCCAAATTTGCATACATTAAGGTTCACTCTGTGCTGTGGAGTCCTCTATGTTTGACAAATGAGTGTTATTATTCATCACTACAGGACCATACAAAATAGTTTCACTGCCCTAAAAAAAAAATCTCCTATGCTTCACCTTGTCAACCCTCACCCTCTTGCAAATTCATGGCAGCCACTGATTTGTCTCTGTAGCCTTGCTTTTTCTAGGATGTCACATAAATGGGATCATATAATTTGTAGCCTTCTCAGATTGACTTCTTTCGCTTAGCAATATATATTTAAGATCCCCCATGCTGATTTTTGTGTCAATGGTTTGTTTCTTTTGACCACTGAATAGATAATAAAGCATTTTAACTAAACTATAGGAGGTAGATCTAAGACAAGAATTTGAGTGCAGGTATTTATTTGGGACATGATCCCAGGAGACATTGGTAGGGCAGTGGGGAGGGAATCAAGCCAGCTGTCACTGTGTGCACTAGGGGTCACTCCCACTGGGGACTGGGGGAGAGTACAAAGCATACCTCAAGCGATCCTTCCTTCCTTCCTTTTGAGTGCTCTTTCCAGGGGCATCAAGTCTGGCATTTGTGCTTGTCCGTGCACATGCTCTACCTGTCCCCTGCAGGGGCACCTGAGCCACCTGAGAGAGATGCAGGTGTTTGCAGTAAGTAGTCATTTGAGAATAGGGATGAGAGCTAACAGGCTGTGCATGGAGCAGGGCATCCTGTTCAGCTGGAAGGCGACGCTGCACAAAGCAGCTGTAACTGAGGAGTAGACAGAAGGGAGTAGGGAGAGAAGGTTTCCATCTTCGGTGGGGTGCACACTGTCTTCTCTGAGCATCTAGAGCTCCAGAAAATGGGCCCAAAATAGCAGGGTCAAGGGCTGGCACTCAGAAAGAATCAGCTGGATGTCATTGCCACGTGCCTTTGGCAGCAACCGTGATACGAGGCAGTCTTGCAATTGCTTCCTGGAGCCACTGCCACCTTGGCAGAGCCCCAAGGGTCTCAGGGGCCTGGGTTCAGATGGCCAGAGGGGGCTAGAGCAGGATGGGGGAGGGAAAGGATGAATAAGCATGTGAAACGGGGAGCACAGTGAAGAGACCCAGAAGCCCCCCACAGAAGAAAGAGCTCCATGGCCAGAGAAATGCTATTGGGACTATTCTGGGGATCCAAGTGCATGCACAGGTGTGTGTGTGTGTGTGTGTGTGTGTACCCACCATAGTGAAAACACCAATTAATGCAACTTCATAATATTTTATAATACACTGGCAGATATTATTCAGTTCCACATTTGTTGAGTATTTCGTAGGACGCAAATGAGGCTATCCACCAGGGATAAAGAAACGAGCAGACCCCGGGGGCTACCTCCTTAGGGCATTTGTTGTAATGAGGAAAGCAGACACCACAAAATGGGGTTTCTATTCCAAAACGTAAGCAAGACCGTTTATTCAGATATACATGTATATGCATCTGTATGTATTAACATATGTAAATATATAAAATAAAGAGAAAACTTGGCTTTGAAGGCCCTGCCTAACACCCACTATACTAATTGCTTTGAGCAGGTAAAGGGAGAGGAGAAATGGGTTTGAGAAAAAGATCAAAACGGACTCCAGCTTTGTCTATTATATTCAATTTCATTTTGCTTAATTAAATATGTGTGTGCCTGTATATTCCAAATGCTTCGAAATCAAATGTTAATATTTGTTAATTCTATATGGTGGGCACTCATACGTGGGTTTGTTGCATTAATCTTTGAGATGTTCTGTAAGACTTCACGTAAAAGAGGCGGGACCCAGCTGGGAGTTATTGCATGTCCTGATGCGGGGCAGTAAGGGCCACCATGGGCAGTGAGGATGACATCTTTCATGCAGGTGGCTCATGCTGCAGCGACATGTCAGCTCCGTAAGAACAGGCACCTCTGAGGGGCGCCTGGGTGGCGCAGTCGGTTGAGCGTCCGACTTCAGCTCAGGTCACGATCTCGCGGTCAGTGAGTTCGAGCCCCGCGTCGGGCTCTGGGCTGATGGCTCAGAGCCTGGAGCCTGCTTCCGATTCTGTGTCTCCCTCTCTCTCTGCCCCTCCCCCGTTCATGCTCTGTCTCTCTCTGTCTTAAAAATAAATAAACGTTGAAAAAAAAAATTTTTTTTAAAAAAAGAACAGGCACCTCTGAAGGGATTTAACTAGAAGGTTCAACTACAGTTTTATGTGGTTCTAATCATATAGTTGTTAACTGATAGAGACTATTACTTCAATAGAGGTGTGTTCATTCAAAGAGAGTCACTCTATATTAAGAATTATTTTGTAATCAGATCAAAAGAGCATGTTTATTTTATGCCTGGTGCTAAAATAGAAGAATGCTTGGGGAACCTGGGTGGCTCAGTAGGTTGAGCATGTGACTTCAGCTCAGATCATGGTCTCGCAGTTCATGGGTTCAAGCCCCGCATCCAGCTCACTGCCATTAGTGAGCCCGCTTT